TGGAATTACAGGCATGTGCCACCATGCCCAGATAACTTCTGTATTTTTAGTAGAGATGGGTTTCACCATGTTGGCTAGGCTGATCTTGAACTCCTGACCTCAGGTGATCCACCTATCTTGGCCTCCCAAAGTCCTGAGACTACAGGCGTGAACCACCGCACCTGGCCTGCAACAAAGCTTTGATGATAGAATTTCAGGGGCCAAGGGCAAGCCCAGGAGGAAAGATATCGAGGTGGGAGGGTGGGAAAGGCACCTGAAGGGGAACTCTCGGGAACTCCAAGTGTGGCCAGCTCTTCTCCCTCCTTAACTCAAGGAGGGAACGGACATGTGGCCAGGTCTGGTTCTTCACCCCAAGTCTCTGGGTCTTATTTTTATCTTCATATCCCAGGCACACACTTTGAGGAGGTCCCAACAAAGGGCAACGTCTTTGGGTTTTTAAAGTTTTTATTTTTAGGGTCTCACTCTGTCACCCAGGCTGGAGTGCAATGGCACGATCTCGGCTCACTGCAACCTCCACCTCCCAGGTTCGAGCAATTCTCCTGCCTCAGCCACTCAAGTAGCTGGGACTACAGGCGTACACCACCACGCCCAGCTAATTACTGTCTTTTTAGTAGAGACAGGGTTTTCACCATGTTGGCCAGGCCAGTCTCAAACTCCTGACTTTAAGTGATCCAACGCCTAGGCCTCCCAAAGTACTGGGATTACAGGCGTGAGCCACTGCACCGGGTCTAAGGGGGAATATCTTTGGAGGAGAAGAAAATAGTGTCAGGAAAACCCCAAGACTGTCCTGGGAGCAGCCGCTGCAGGGCCTGCAAGGCTTTCCCTGCGGGTCATGAAAGGGCTCGTGTTCACCAACCAAGGATGGGCAAGGATGGAAGGAGACCTCCGGGCCACTGGGGGCCACAGAGCAGAGTCGAGGTTTAGTGCAGGCCCTGGGTTTAGGTTACACACCTGTAAGACCCTTTGCAACCTCGGATTCCAGGTCGCCAGGAGAAAGAGAGATAAGGTAGGGTGATAGTCAAGGTCTCAGGTTCTAGAAACCTCTCTGGCCATGACTTCCACACTGAGATGGCTCAGGTCCAGATGTTACAAGGGACACCATGTTCCTGTCTTTGCAGTAGCCTGGCAACCACCCCAGGTTACAGATCCCACAACAAAAGTGTAACCAGAACGCTTGGCAAACAGCAGCTCTGTTCTGTGTCTCAGGCCCCAGCAGGCTGGGCTGGGGGCTGGGCTGGGCGTGGCTTCCTGCAGTAAGTGCTTCCTCCCTGGCCCATCCGTTCATTTTCCCCACGTTTTCCCAACTCACTTATCAGCTGGTCTCTGCTGCCTCTTGCTTTGAAGGCTGCAGTCACACAGTGGCAGCTTACCCATCACTCACCCCGACGGGTTCTCAGCCCGGAGCCGAGTAGCCTGGCTGGGCCTGTGTGGAGGGTTCAGAGAAAAGCTCTGTAGGAGGGTGTCCAGCATTTGCTCATTCCCCAGGTGAGGCTGGGGACATTGGGTGGTGCTATGAGTGCAATGGCTTGAATTCAAGCTGTTGCAAAATGTTTCAGTGTTCCCTATAAGAAGATGTTTGATGTGTCAGAACATGCATTATCACTGTGCACTTATAAATAACTCTCTAGGGCCGGGCGCGGTGGCTCACGCCTGTAATCCCATCACTTTGGGAGGCTGAGGTGGGCGGATCATGAGGTCAGTGGATTGAGACCATCCTGGCTAACATGGTGAAACCCCATCTCTACTGAAAATACAAAAAATTAGCCGGGCGTAGTGGTGGGTGTCTGTAGTCCCAGCTACTTGGCAGGCTGAGGCAGGA